AGCTAGTTTGCTAAGAATGAACACAGAATAAGGCCAACTTACCAGCCACAACCCAAGGAGGAAGGTGTCATTCGGGAGGTAAGGAAAATTGATTCCATCTGAAGGCAGCTTACTCCCAAGAAAGATGCCAGGTGGCCATAGCGTTTTGCTGAGCATGAATAGGTTTTAAATATTTCCTTCTTTCCCCCTTTTTGGGATTTTAGGTGCACATAATCAACTTAATTATAATCTTTGATTCATGACATCCTGTAGTCATTGGTCCATGGTGGTCAGCTATCATTTATTTAGATACCTTGGTGGTTATTTTTAAAGGATGTAATTCACATCTAGTAATGAATTATCCAGAATAAAACTAGAAATGTAACAGTTACATACTTCTAAACATATGGTGCTCCTCTGCCTGGTCTCCTGCTTCTCCTACCTGAGAATCATCATCCTGATACATATTCTTCCTAAATTTACAAATAGAATTTATTCCCTTTACCGGCACAGGGCAGAGCAAGCAATGCTGGCAAAGAGAGGTCAGAAATGAACTTAAGGAAAGCTTCCTCAAGGAAACCAGGAGGGAAGCAAAGGGTTTCCTTTTATCCAGTGGTGCTGAGACTTGTATGTTTCCTTGTATTTTGTCAGAAAACAGGATATCCCTAGAAACTAAATATACGCCCATAGAACTTTAAGAGGATCCTGCAAAGTGTTTAGAACTTGAATGGTTGTTACTTTTTTATTAGTGTAAAACTATTTTTGTCAAATCGAACACATGGTGACGATACTGGGCATCTACGAACTGGCATCTGCAAACCCACATTCTCATTTTATTCCCCTTAATGCCCAAGTTTTGTTTCCCACGCTGAGAATTTTTGAATGTAAAACAGGTAGTCTTTCTGTGGATTAATTCTCCCTCAATTTTGAGTTTTCTGATTTTATTTTCTTGCACAATGCAATGAGTCCTTTCAAAAATAGAATGATACCGTTTCAGAGTTGATCCAGTGCAACATCTCCCCCGGGGTAGTACATTAATAACAAATGACACTGTGATGGCAGATTCAGGTTTATAATTTCGTTGTATATTTGCAATCTATTCAAGCCATGCTTTGGAATTAGGAAAGTGGTTGATAAAAGAGCAACATACCCATGATGCCTGAGTTTTTCTGAGTTTACAGAGGAGCTGTGGCTCCAAGTTCCATTGCAAACCAAATGATACTACTAAACTCATCAAGTCGAGGAAGGAGTGACAATGAGCCCTCATTAAAGAATAAGCTCCTTGCATAGGGATCTTTTCTGTCTAAGTCACTGCCACATCTCCAGAATGTAGCACACAAACTGATGCATAATAGTACTGTTATTTAGAAAAACAGAATCCTGGTGATAAATAACAGTCAAATCTAGTTCTTGGGCACATTACACCTGCAGTGCCCTGTGCTGGTGGTTTACGTTGGTAATTGAATTTAACCTGCACAGCATGGGTATTATCGTTATTGCTTTGTTCTTGAGAAACCTGAGGTCCACAGGAGTGAAATAATTTGCTGTAGGTGACACAGCTAATAAAACATAACAAGGAATTGAGCCATGTAGTTCTACCATCCTATATTTACATAAACTAGAAAGAAATGTAATGTAGACGTGGCTTTTTGTTTCGGTTATGCCATCAACAAAGTAATGCACAAAATTATAGGTCCTCTGATTATCAGAATCGTTTTCTTTGAAATGCTAGGTTGATAGTTGATCAAGAAGAACCAGATAGAAATAATCTATTCACAACCTTTAGTCTAGGATACTAGTATATTTTGATAGCTTACAAGGTATTCAAAGAAAACTTGCATTGATCTTGATTTCAAGTAGTTTAAGTTTTGGATGGCATGCTCATTCTTTATTTGCTTTTGTGTTTTGTCTTTTAAATTATTTTGTCATTGTCTCTGAGGTTCAAATAGGTAATGAATTTCTTTTTTATTCCAGATAAATTCTGTTTAAAAAAGTCCTATGTGCCTGGATTTGGTCAATTGTAAAGTGGCTCAGACAAAAATGGAGATGTGATGAGACGTACATGAACTCGAGCAGCTCCCTTCCTCCCTTCTTTCATGCCACATGTGCAATTTGGACATATTTTTTCTTTCAATTTACAGTCCATTTCCTTAGCCCTTATGGAACTATCCAAAAAAAGAATAAAGCTGCCCATGTGAATACCAGGTTGCAGACCAACCTGCACTATAACATATAAAGAAAAGGCAAGACTTTGTAGCCAAAGAAATCTTTGCTTGAATCTTGACTCTACTGCTTTGCTACCTGTATGACCTTAGATGGGGTACTGCATTTTTGAGCCCCAGTTTCACCTTTTTTGTCAAACGGTAACACCTCCCTAATAACACCATGATAAGGGCCATTACAACTATTATTAGAAATTAAAGTATAAATAACAAGGAATGCCTTTCACGCATCCTTGATGAAGCTGAACACCTTGTCAGATGGGTTTATATTGTCTGGTATTAGACGATTTGTTCTTGGTCCATGTTTCACAGCCATAACATTATTGCTGTCAATCAAATTTATTTAACAAGATACTTAACACTATGTGCCACACACTATTTAAAGGCCTTTACAAATATTAACTCATTTCATCCTCATAGCACCATATTTATTATGACATCTACGTTCTTAGACTATCACAAACATCTCATGCTTTCTTCACAAAATCTCTATCATTTCTTCTTAAGAGTTGAGTAAATCAGGAGCACACATGTATTATGAATCTGCCGATCTGTGTGTATACATGTGTGTGCACATATGTGCTGTTTGTTTCACTAAAGAAACCCAAACTGAGTTTCTTGCTTCCAAACCCCTGTCTTCTTTTGGGGTCGCTTGAAACTTTATCAGCTTTCCATCTATCATTTTCAGTTTGCAAAACCACTTTATTTTTTTTTGTTACCAGCGTTGATGCAGAGCTATATGTTAAATACCTTACTTGAAATGGTAGTTGTCAGTGCACAAATGTGTGATTTTTGGGGAAAAGGGATTTTGTATATATTTGTATGCATATATTTATATACATATTGATTTTTGATGAACATACCAAAGCAGATGTTGTGTGAATGTTTTTTGCACAGTCTCAGGGTACTAAGATGCTGGAAAATGGGAAATGGTATTTGAATAGCAAGGTATGCACTATCTGTCCTCTGGCAGACACAAAGGAGCTCACAATTAATTACTAAGCTACAGAATGTAAAATTATCCAGGGAATAGTAAATGATATGGAAAATGACAATATTGTGAGAAGTTCTATGTACCTGAACTAGTGTTGAACTATCCAAAGAAGTCCTGAACTAGTGTTGAACTATCCAAAGAGGTTATGTAGCTTTTTAAAGTTAAATCCATATTTTTGTGATGATGGCAAAATATAACCATGGCATCTTTCCAGTGTGACATGTTTCTTTTTTTTTTTTTTAAAGATTTTATTTATTGAGAGAGAGCACAAGTGGGGGGCAGAGGGAGAGGGAGAAGCAGACTTCCCACTAAGCAGGGAGCCCGAAGCAGGGCTCGATCCCAGGACCCCGAGATCATGACCTGAGCTGAAGGCAGACGCTTAACCGACTGAGCCACCTAGGCACCCCGTTGTGTGATATGTTTCTAATTGCATTTAAAAACATTTGCTCACCTAGCTCTCGTGTGAAAAAGAAACTGTGGTACCAAGTTGCAGTCGTCTTCGTTAATGAGAAATTTTGCAGTTTTGGTACTAAATTACTGGTTATCCTGCAAGGCTTGATAATAAATTATTTGGCATGAAAGTGTTGAGGAATTGTTATAGCAAGAGTTTTCTGATCAGAATAATGTGCAAAATATAGGTGAATTCATTCAGCAACTATTTTTAAGCATCTACTGTGTGCTCAGATTCTGAAACTGTGGTACAATGGGGAACAAGAACAATCCCAGTTACTTCTCCTGATGGGTCTTACAGTCCAATGGATGAAACAGAAGATGGTAATCAGTTACATGTAAGTGAACAATGGTAGTTAGTACTGAAAAGGAGAGGTTCCCAGAGCTATGCTGTGCTAGTGGCTAATAAGGGAAAGTAACCTTGTCTCAGAAGGCTAGCAGGGTAGCACTGAGATGGGGTGGGGATCATTTTTTGATGCTTATCAAAAGGCTTATCAAAGTTCACACCCTTTGAAACCACATTTTCACATTGAAGCATTTCCCCTAAAGGAATAATTTGAGGTGTGTTAAGCATTTTAGCTATAAGGACAAGGCATTGTTTTCTTATAGAATTGTTGGAAACATCTTAAATATTCAAAAGTAAGTGCTTAGTTAAATGTATATTATCAAAAATGATACCGACTACCTGGGGTGCCTGGGTGGCTCAGTTGGTTAAGCATCCAATTTTTGGTTCTGGCTCAGGTCGTGATCTCAGGGTCATCAGATCAAGCCCCATGTCCAGCTTGTGCTCAGTGCAAAATCTGTTTGAGATTCTCTCTCCCTCTCTCTCTGCCCCTCCCTGTGCTCACAAGTGTGCGCACGTGCGTGCTCTCTCTCTCAATAAATAAATAAAACCTTAAAAAAGTTATATTAACTACCCAAGATCTTTTAAAATAATGCAAAAATGTTTTTATTATAATAAAAGATGTTTTAGGAGTGGTTACAAAATAGTATTTAAATTGCCTTTGCCTTTACCCCTACCCTATCCTTTCTAGTTACTCATTTATCCTATTTGCTTTCAAATATATCAGTAATCAGAATAGCAGCAACAGTAATAGCTGCTCATACTAACTACCACTTAGCACGTGCCAGCCCTGTGTGAAATACTTTATTATTTCAAATGATCTATGTGTAAACCAGTGAAATAGGTATTATGACATTTATTTCTTTTGTATTCTGAAACTTTTAAATATGTCAACACAGGTATGTATGCTCTATGCACCAAGGAAAGAATTGTTTCAGTGTTCACACTATTCACCATGAGTTTCCTTATTGCCATCTTATCTAAGAGAAATCCCTTATTTTTTTGGTGACAGCATTCTGCCAAGAGGGCTGCAGATATGGTGGAACGTGCGTGTCTCCTAACAAATGCGTCTGTCCTTCTGGATTCACAGGAAGCCACTGTGAGAAAGGTAACCTTGCCTGTTTTGTTATTTTGGCGGGTTAGTACTGTGGGTTGACTTGATATGTCCTGTTCTGAGGGTGGATGTACCTCTCCCAAAGTGGGTACCTTTTTGTTACTACATAACAGGCATCTTCCCTTTGAAAATAGGACTTCATTTGCTCTCCCTAATGTGTCTAATTTAGCAAGGTCCAGTCTTTTCTCTGCTATAGTTTGCAGTGTGCATTTTTAGGGCTAGTTAGAGATAAAGCCTCACGAACTAACCTACCCCACTTATCCTTTATTGGGTAGCATCACATGCAACTTCTGGAGTTTTAACAATCTGCTGCATCAATGGAATCTAAATTAGAACCACATGCTCCTTGCGTAAAAGCATGTTAAATAACTCCAGCAGCAGGTTTATTGGTGTGCTTGGAATTTTATTCTAATATTGGTTTATTACAAACAATATCATTCATGGACCTGATAATGTAAGCCAATTAGTATTGGTAAGATTCTGTTATGTGCCCCTTTCTATTTGCAGTAAATGTAGTGTTTATACTTGGTGCTATTTGGTAAAATCTAGCTCGGTCATTAATTACAAGAAGTCCTCCTACCTTTGTGTAAGTGAAATTTGACAATCAATGTTAGTGTGCCAGTAATCCATGCAAGCAACAGGTCAATGCCATATAAAACTAAATATTTCAGTGTATTTGTCCATGAGTTTTATTAGGGTAAAACCACTGTATCATATTTTTCTGAGAAGGGAATAAACTTGACAACATAGAATTGCAGAGAAAAGTGGAAATACAATGTTGTCATCATCATTCCTATTATTTGATGAGGGGGAGGATGTCTTCATCTACTGCCAAAGACCTAAGCAAAGCTCTTTTTTCCTTTGGGGTGTAAGGGTTTCATTTTTTTTAATGAGCCTATTTATTATACCCCAAATTGTCCAACATATTACATTGTGCTGCCTGTATATTTATAAGGCAGCCTGATCCTTTAAAAAACATGTCACAATTTACATAAATTATTCAATGAGGAAATCAGCAATGGGTGTGCCATTGTTTCCATGTTTTGTGATATTACCAACAAATCAGGTCACATTTATTAAATAATATTAATTGGAGTATCCTTAAAAAGAGACTTGTAAAGGAGCCAAGTTCTGCTCCTGAGCAGCATGAGAGCATTACCACATGGAGCTGAAATATTCTTGCCAAAAGCAAAGAAACTTAATGGTAACTTAACACACATGCCTTTATTGCAGTACATTGGATTTTGATTAGGTTTTCTGGAATGAAAAAAAATCTAAAGGTTTAGCCTTATTTCCTCTAGAACTGCTGTGTTTCCCTAAAATGTGTATACAGGGATTCATGGGGACAGAATGGTGATGGTGAAGATGTTGATAATGGCGGATACTACTACTACTGATACACAATTTCTCATGTACTAGTTATGTCTAAGGCCTTGTAAATGAATGCTTTAATATTAACAAACAAGAGATTACTATCATTACTCCCATTTTATAGATGGCAAACTAAAGCTTTAGCCACGTGAAGCAATCTCTGCAATGCTATCAGAGCCGGTATTAGAACTGAGAATAAAACATAAGTTGCATTGCACAAAGCCTGAGTTATAAACCTTGCATGTATTTCTCAAGGATAATACATGGACTTCCTGTTAAAATCCAGATTTCTGCTCTTCCACCCCCTACCTGGTGAATCAGAAAGTCTGGGGAGGAGGGTCCACAAATCTTTACTTTCACCAAGCACCTCAGGTTGCCTGTTATAAACCAGTTGTTATATTGTTATTGAGATACTTAACCAGAACATCTGTAAAGTTCTTACTCTTTTTACCTTTTAAAGAATTAGGGGAGAGCATTGATCTTAGACCAGGGCCCAAGTGAGTGGCAGCTCAGGAAAATTTAATTGTGGTTTCTGATGGCTTGTTCATTTGACCTCTGGCCTTTTCTCTCCTCAATAAGTGGTTGGTTGAATCAGTGCTTACATTCTGGTCCATAATGTGGAGCAGGAAAAATAGAGATAAAGGAGAAAATCAAGACCAGAGGGAAAGGATTGGTAGGACATGGGTTCCTATGTAAATGTTACAAATGTTGAATTTGAAATTGAGAATTGCATTTTCTTGAGTATGTGCACAGTTATTGTAAGATTAAAAAAAAAAGGTTTCTCCACATGTGATGCTCTCTCCTATCAGTAGCAAAGCCATTCCATTTGATACTGGCCAGTGTTCTAATTCTGTAAGATTTTTTGGCAGTAGAATAAAGTACACATTTTCCCGTCAATTGTGTGCAAGAGATGTAGATGAATTGTAGGCAAATACTGAAACATATGCCATATCTTATCTGAATTATTTTGTCATATTGATCATTAATAATAAACATTAAATAATTCAGTTTTCCACTGAGTAGTGATATCGATACCTTGAGTCTCAGGGTGCAAGGGAAAAATGCATTATGAATGTCTCATAGCATGATTAGACTAAATCTTTATTTGGTTTCTTTCAAGTGCAGGGCTAATTAAATGGTTTCTTTTGAGATATATAGAGTTCACTTATGTTTAGTCTTAAAATGTTTCCCATGGCCCCCCGGTTACTGGTTTTATCCACTGTGATTTCAGCCTTTCAGAATACAAGCACATTTAGTTAAATCATTGAAATCATTTTTTTTTTAAAGATTTTATTTATTTTGACAGAGAGAGACAGAGTGAGAGCAGGAACACAAGCAGGGGGAGTGGGAGAGGGAGAAGCAGGCTTCCCGCCGAGCAGGGAGCCCGATGCGGGACTCGATCCCAGGACCCTGGGATCATGACCTGAGCCGAAGGCAGACGCTTAACGACTGAGCCACCCAGGCACCCCATTGAAATCATTTGTTAAAGAAAATACCTATCTAGAATTTAATGAAGTTAAAAGACCCACCTGTGTTTGGTATGTAACACAAAGATGAACAACTCAAATGTGAAATCAAAGAGCCACACTAAATCCAAAAATAGGTTACCAACCATAAAACAGAACACCATCTTCTGAGAACTGAATGAGATTAAGTTTTCTACTTGGCATTAAGCATATTTGCAAGCAAGAACAAGTAGAGATACATACAAGGTATCAAACTAAGTCTAATTAGAGATTTCTTAAGCTTGACAATATTGACATTGCGGACCAGATAATTCTTTGTTGTAGAGGGCTGTCCTGTGCATTGTAGGATGTTTAGCAGCATCACTGGACTCTATACCCACTAAATACCATTACCTGTGTCACCCCCAGTCATGAAAAGCAGAAATGTCTCTTGACATTGCCAACTATTCCCAGGGAGGCAGAATTAATTCCCATGGTCAACACTGGGTTTAAATGTAGCATTTAAAAAATATTTTACAAAAATGGTACATGTGTATGTAGGTGTGTATTTGTATATATATGTGTGTGTGTGTGTGTGTATACGCACACATATATATTTTAGGTAAATGTATCAGTGTTAGTTGATAATATAAAAATTATAAGAATTTTTTTGCTAGGGGCGCCTGGGTGGCTCAGTCGTTGGGCGTCTGCCTTCGGCTCAGGTCATGATCCCAGGGTCCTGGGATCGAGCCCCACGTCGGGCTCCCTGCTCAGCGGGAGGCCTGCTTCTCCCTCTCCCACTGCCTCTGCTTGAGTTCCCTCTCTCGCTGTGTCTCTCTCTGTCAAATAAATAAATAAAATCTTTAAAAGAAAAAAAAAATTTTTTTTCTAGAGAAAATATTTTAAAGCATCTGTTGAGCATTTTTAGAAGTGCTTAGAGTTGCTGTAATTTAGAACATTCTTGACCAAGAACCAGAGACTGGCTGATTTCCATCATGTGGTATGTGAGGCACACCTTCTTACAGTCCCGGAAACCAGGTTGGTATGGAAGCTGTGCCAGTTCTCTGTCCACTTTCTCCCAGTGACAGTTTAAACATGTGAATGCTTCAACCCTACCCAGGAAGCATGTGACCCTACCCCTTGTGTTCTCCTGAAGGAAGAGAAAATCCTTTATTCATCCATCCATTCTCCCTCCCTCCCTCCCTCTTTCCTTCCTTCTTCTCTCCTTCCCTCCCCCTCCCTTCCTGCTTCCCTCCCTCTTCCCTTCTTGCCTGCCTGCCTGCCTGCCTTTTGTACTTAGAGAATGTGTTCATGCGCAAGCTGGGGAAGGGGCAGAGGGAGTGGGAGAGAGAGAATCTTAAGCAGACTCCATGCCCAGTATGGAGCCTGATGTGGGGCTCAATCTCACGACCCTGAGATCATGACGTGCGCTGAAATCAAGAGTCAGACACAACCAATTGAGCCACCCAGGCATCCCATTCTTTCTTTTTTTTAGAAGGAAGTTTTCAATATATGTAATAAGATAACGTCTCTTAAAACTTAGATACACACATTTTAAATGGAATTTTCTCTATAATGTTATCTCTCTGACCATACCAGGCAGTCACTTTTAGTAGGAGTTTTGACTGGGATATAAATGCAGATGTTCTTTCTTGTGGTACACACAGGACAGCTAATTTTACTGCATGTCCCTATTTGTATATTCCATGAATTCTAAATTGTATAAATTCAGACACTCATAACCAACATCTTGTGAATCAGACAGTGAGAATTGGGCAGTACTCATCAAACTATAGGCTAGACAATAGTATAATGTAAAAAACTGGGAAAAATATGCTGATATTATAAAAATAGCAGACCTTGACTTTTTCCCGCATAACTTCAGAAATGGGTTCCTTTATTGTAAATATTATTCATTTAACTCACATGAGCAAGGAACTCTCACAACCTGTAAGCCTTTCCAAAGCATACTAAGAACCTGATCAAGAATATTCAAGGAGATCAATAAATAGCCAAAAAAAAAGAAGTTTGACACTGTTATCCATTGACAATATAATTTCCAGTAGCTATTGTTTTCTTATTTTGGTTATCTGGATTTTCTAATACAATAAATATTATTTGTGTTTATCTTAAACTTGTAAAAATCATTACTACAAAGAACATAAAAACTCACAAAAA